AAAGGAGAGGCTGGGTCCTAGGAGGGGAAGGTAGCAAGCAATTTGCACCCACCTTTCCCCAAACGGACCTTCAGTCACTTACTTCGTGGACAAAAATGTACACAGACATTTAGAGCATCCTCCACAAAGAGTCAAAGAGACCCATTATACCAGTGAACTTTTTAAGAGTCCAGTGGTCCTGGGTATGTCAGGACATTCTCTCCAGACACTTTATTGAATCTTGCTTCCTTACCATGAAGAATGGATGACAAGCAGAAGTGCCTTTGGGTTTGGGCAGAGTCCAAAGAGAATCATTTCCAGCAGTAGGACCAAGCCTAATGGAATGGGCTGGACTTTAGAACCTCTGAACATTGATCCCCATGTACCTCCCCTGCCCTCCTCCTCATGTAGGGGCATCTCCAGCAGCTGTCCCATGCTGGTTGCACCGTTTCCTCTTGGGGATCTGGGTGGAGGGAGACAGTGTGTTGCTTTAGTCCACAGATCCAGAGAGACACTGTTCAGGGACTGTGCATGCGGGACCACACTGGAGGAGCCTCAGCTGCCCAATTCAGAACATGCAACCCAGGACCTTGAGCGCGAACCAGAGGCTGACATAGGAGGCTCTGGAGGTGGGATGTGGGAAGGGTTACGTGTCACCTGGCCTGGGCCAAACCTAACATGTGAGTATTTCTGTCAGTGTTTCCTGAAGAGATTAGCATTTAAATCAGTAAACACAATAAAGCAATCTGCTCTCTCCAGTGGGGGTGGGCATTATCCACTCCACTGAGGGCCAGACTAGAACAGGAAGGCAGAGAAAGAGTGCGTTCTAGCTCTCTGTTGTAGCTGTGTGACTCTATGAAGGGTCTCATGGAGCTGGGACATCTATATATTCTGGTCCTGAGGTGTCAGAGCTCCTGATTCTCACTTTAGGACCTGGACTGAATTCTACCACCAGCTCTCCTAAGGCTCGATTATGGGAATTCATGGCTTCTATAATCACAGGAGCTGATTCCCAAAGTAAATCTCTTACATGTTTCTACATGTGCATATCCTATAGTTTGTTTCTCTGGAGGATGTGTGTATATGAATATTCCCAAATTGGCTGACGTACTATTTCCCAGCCTATCTGTCCTTCCAGAGCCTCTCGAACGGGCCCTTGTGACTGCCTCGTTATTAAGAGTACGGCAGACGTGACGCAGCTCCCATGAATGTCCCTCTGCTTTCTCTCAGTGTGTCTGTCACTGAAACCCACTACCATGCCACCAGATAGCAAGGGGGCCCTGGGAGAGGCCACTTGGAGGTGTTCTGGCTGGCAGCCCTAGCCGAGGTTCTTAATGACAGCAGACATCAGCTGCCACGTGTATAGGCATGTGAGCCTTCTATTCACTCCACACTCTGCGTGTTCTTGGTGCCACCCCAGCAGAAGTGAGCTATGCCCATGGACCTCTGCCAGAAGCGCAAATCTGGGACCACTCTGGAGTCTCAAGACTGAGCCATGCTCAGAGCCAAAGGAGCTGGCTCATCTGGGAGAGGGCAGAGTGAACACAACCTTAAACGTCTTGGGTCTGGGTGATCCAACCAAGGGGGAGAGGATGGTGCGGAGGGGGTGTGGGGCTGAGCTCCAGGGGCTCCATCGCCTAGAGGGCTGGTGGGGAAAGGGGGGCCACAAAGGGAAGGAGGGAGGAAGTCAGGAACCTGTGGTGCTGCAGAAGCTGGGACAGGAGGATGAGCCGAAGGGGAGGCCGCCGCAGCGGGACAAGGGCGTGCGAGCGTGTCTGCACCACCTGATCCTGGAAGTCACTGCTGACCCATTCAGAAGCTGGGACAGGAGGATGAGCCGAAGGGGAGGCCGCCGCAGCGGGACAAGGGCGTGCGAGTGTCTGCACCACCTGATCCTGGAAGTCACTGCTGACCCACCACAAACCGTGTCGTTCAGCTACCAACCACATCAGAACAGAGAGGGGTGAAAAGCAGGGGAAGAGGGGCTGTGGGCTTATAGTTACGTTGGATGAAGGTGTGCGGGCAGCCTCCTGGGAGGGTGGTTCCCTGCTCCTATTGCCTTACAGAAGCAGGACACAGCCATAGGCAGATCACAACCTTTCACAGAGGGAGAGCAGCACTGTGAAGGATCCCAGCCCAGCCCAGCCCTTGTACTGTGTCTACAAGGTCAATCAACAAACTCGCACTGGAAGTCCTGACCTTCCGGCATCCTTAGGGCTCCTGCTGTCCTCTCTCCACTCAGTTCCCGTCCTGGGGGTCTCCGGGCTTGTGTGCCCAGCAGTGGGATGTGGGAAGGGTTACGTGTCACCTGGCCTGGGCCAAACCTAACATGTGAGTATTTCTGTCAGTGTTTCCTGAAGAGATCAGCATTTAAATCAGTAAACACAGTAAAGCAATCTGCTCTCCCCAGGGGGGTGGGCATCATGCACTCCACTGAGGGCCAGACTAGAACAGGAAGGCGGAGAAAGAGTGCGTTCTAGCTCTCTGTTGTAGCTGTGTGACTCTATGAAGGGTCTCATGGAGCTGGGACATCTATATATTCTGGTCCTGAGGTGTCAGAGCTCCTGATTCTCACTTTAGGACCTGGACTGAATTCTACCACCAGCTCTCCTAAGGCTCGATTATGGGAATTCATGGCTTCTATAATCACAGGAGCTGATTCCCAAAGTAAATCTCTTACATGTTTCTACATGTGCATATCCTATAGTTTGTTTCTCTGGAGGATGTGTGTATATGAATATTCCCAAATTGGCTGACGTACTATTTCCCAGCCTATCTGTTCTTCCAGAGCCTCTCGAACGGGCCCTTGTGACTGCCTCGTTATTAAGAGTACGGCAGACGTGACGCAGCTCCCATGAATGTCCCTCTGCTTTCTCTCAGTGTGTCTGTCACTGAAACCCACTACCATGCCACCAGATAGCAAGGGGGCCCTGGGAGAGGCCACTTGGAGGTGTTCTGGCTGGCAGCCCTAGCCGAGGTTCTTAATGACAGCAGACATCAGCTGCCACGTGTATAGGCATGTGAGCCTTCTATTCACTCCACACTCTGCGTGTTCTTGGTGCCACCCCAGCAGAAGTGAGCTATGCCCATGGACCTCTGCCAGAAGCGCAAATCTGGGACCACTCTGGAGTCTCAAGACTGAGCCATGCTCAGAGCCAAAGGAGCTGGCTCATCTGGGAGAGGGCAGAGTGAACACAACCTTAAACGTCTTGGGTCTGGGTGATCCAACCAAGGGGGAGAGGATGGTGCGGAGGGGGTGTGGGGCTGAGCTCCAGGGGCTCCATCGCCTAGAGGGCTGGTGGGGAAAGGGGGGCCACAAAGGGAAGGAGGGAGGAAGTCAGGAACCTGTGGTGCTGCAGAAGCTGGGACAGGAGGATGAGCCGAAGGGGAGGCCGCCGCAGCGGGACAAGGGCGTGCGAGTGTCTGCACCACCTGATCCTGGAAGTCACTGCTGACCCACCACAAACCGTGTCGTTCAGCTACCAACCACATCAGAACAGAGAGGGGTGAAAAGCAGGGGAAGAGGGGCTGTGGGCTTACAGTTACGTTGGATGAAGGTGTGCGGGCAGCCTCCTGGGAGGGTGGTTCCCTGCTCCTATTGCCTTACAGAAGCAGGACACAGCCATAGGCAGATCGCAACCTTTCACAGAGGGAGAGCAGCACTGTGAAGGATCCCAGCCCAGCCCAGCCCAGCCCTTGTACTGTGTCTACAAGGTCAATCAACAAACTCGCACTGGAAGTCCTGACCTTCCGGCATCCTTAGGGCTCCTGCTGTCCTCTCTCCACTCAGTTCCCGTCCTGGGGGTCTCCGGGCTTGTGTGCCCAGCAGGGCTGTGTGAGTACAGTAAGTTATTCTTTTGTGTTCTTGGCAGCTGTAGGCAGTGCGAGGTCCCTAACAGAAGCTCACTCACCATCTGCTGAAGGGGACTAGGTCAGTTTCATCTCATAAGTGAAACGCTGATGGCCATCCACGTTTAAAGGAATTGCATGCAAGGGCTGGCTGGCCGGAGGTCAGCACTCCTGGGAAGGCCAGCCTTCCACCAGGTGCGGGGCAGGTGGGTAACAGCTCTTGAGAATGAACACAGACTACAAGAATTCCTGGTGCTATGCTTTGAATATGGTTTGACCCCTGGAACTCATCCAGGAGGAGGAGAAGTGTCATTCCCGGAGTCATGTGTCCGTGCTATTAAGGGGGCAGGAACCTGACTGCTATTCAGAGATGTGGCCTTCCGGGAGATGATCGGGATTAGATAAATCTGTCAGGCGGAGCCTCTGTTCCACCTCAGGACTCTGCCAGCAGAAGACCCTCATCACGTGCAGCCCCTCAACCTTGGACTTTCCCAACTGTGAGTAAAGCCAGCCTCTTCTCTTTGTAAGTTACCTGCTTCAGGTACCTTGTTAGAGTAATGAAACATGGAGTCCAACAGCCAGGGTGCTGTGGGTGGTCTGTGTTCTATTAAATTGCCTTTATTTGATAACATTTCTGGGTGCTGCTGCCACCTCAATAGGGGACTTAAGTCTTTGGGGTTTCTCCTGCTAGCATGAGATGGGGTGCCTCTCCCCCCACCGACTGTGACAGCCCTGCTCCAAGTAGGGCCCAGGTGGGGTCCCCATGGCTGTGACTGTCCCAGTGGTGAAGGTATGGTGCTTTGTTGTGTCCCCAGCCCCAGATGGTGGACACGGCTTGCCTCATGGCTCCTGGAGGAGTGGGTTACCTGCTGTGGCACGGCCAGGGCCTCTTTACTGTTGGAGCCGCCTCCAGCACCAGTCAATCATGCCCACAGGCACAGAATCTGCGCATCTACCAGGGATCAGGCAGGCTGGACCCTGCAGCCTGGGGGACTTGGGCCCTCCTATCAGCCCCTGAGGACTGGCTTTCATTTGTTTTACCTCACAGACAGCTTAAAACTTACGGAAAAACATTTTATTACACATGTTCGACGTGCTTCCAATGAAATGATTCATTTTTCATGTATAATGGCATCCAATGTTTATCTCCTTTTTTTGTTTTTCAGGCAGGCTGGACCCTGCAGCCTGGGGGACTTGGGCCCTCCTATCAGCCCCTGAGGACTGGCTTTCATTTGTTTTACCTCACAGACAGCTTAAAACTTACGGAAAAACATTTTATTACACATGTTCGACGTGCTTCCAATGAAATGATTCATTTTTCATGTATAATGGCATCCAATGTTTATCTCCTTTTTTTGTTTTCTTTCAAAACCAGCACCAAAAAGTAAAACAAAAAATACCATGGGTACAGTACATAATGTCAGTTAACTAAGGAAAATATATACATTTGACTCTGCAATGAAAAGAAGAGAGAGCAATGATATTATTGGCACTGAGGATCTTTCTGGTCTTCCACTGATATCGAGCCATGGTCAACCAAGAGGGTTTCATTCGCACCAATGAAAATAGCACCGTAGGATCACAAGATGCTAACTGCTGACGCATCTGTGTGACCACAAAGGGACAGTACTGGACTGACAGTGTGGGGTATTGCTAACAAACATCGTAGAGCGGAGCGAGAATGTCATGCTGAGTGTTGCAGCTTGTGCCAGTAACAGAGGTGAGCTGGTGGGGTTGAGTGACTAATGGGCTGAAGGATGTGGGCTTTGGAGAACCACAGGGTGTCTGATAACAGAACTGTGTTCACTCTGAGGGTGTGGGGCCCCTGCCAGGCAGGTCCAGTCAGGGAGGCCTGTCCTTGCTCCCCTTGGGTGGACCTCTGTAGACTGAGCCAGGAAGGGGCTATGGCTGTCCCAGCTCTGCTACGTGGCTCTAAAATGCCACTGTCTCTTGGTAAATGAACAGCATATCCTGGGTAGGGAGAAAACTGACTTCCCCTGGCTCCCCAGAATTTGAGGGTGTAGTGGGAGCAGGTTTGGGGAGTCTGCCAGGAGCAGCGTTTGGCATCGGCCCTGGGGCGTGAGCTGGTGGGATGCCCTGCAGGTGGTACGGCCTCCCTCTTGACATTCTCTCGGCTTACTCCAGAGAGCACCCGAGGAGTGTTCTCAGTACTCATCCGTGCAAGTGGAACCAAATCAATGCCCGGCCATTCCTCCCACTTTTCTGCTATGGGATGGTATTAAAAAAAAAGCCAAAACAAACAGCACCAATAAATCAGGAAGCACCTGGAGGCCATCCCATGGCATTGACCCAAGGAAGAGCCCCTCTCCGAAATGAGGGAGGAGAAAGTGTGTTTCTCCAGGTAAAGTCTCAGAACAAAAGCACCCATGAAACGCCCACCAGGGTGGTGAGCAAGACAGGACTCCAGGGATCCCGCTTCCTCCTGGCCAGGCTCCTGGGCAGCCTATGCTCTCCACAGGCCTCTCTGGTCATTTCTCTGGCCTTCTGGAGGTGCAGGAGCTCTGGGATGAGGGGATGTGAGTAAGAACTTCTTTGCCTCACCAAGAAAAGGGTCACAAGTGACAGCCATGGTAACAGGTACCATGGGGCTGGGCTGGGGGAGGCACGGTGGGCGAGCAGCCATTCCAGCAGGCGGTGTCCCTCCGCTGAGCCTTCCCCTGCAGATCCCACGTCTGAGCAGTGTCCTTAGAGGTCCTGAACGTAATCTTCAGAGAAAAGGCCCAGGTCCTCGGTGAGCTACTGGGCTGTGATGCAGTGTCTGAGGTGTAAAGCTTTGTGGGGTGCTGGCTGGGGTGGGTGCCCCCCGAGACAGAACGTGAGGGCTGCTTCCCCCGCCCAAGCTGTGCCGAGCTCCACTGTGTTAGGAAGCAGTCCTATGGCCCAATTAGCACATCTCTCCTTTCACGGCACCTTGAAGAGAGGCTCTTCTGCTTCCCTAGGTAGTGGAGAGCTCTGCTACATAGATGCCTCCCAGACCTTCTGGAATGTTCTTCCCTAGGCGTGGTGTGGAGACCGACGTGGTAGTGCTGGCATTCTCGTTGGTCTATGCAGATGTAAATTCTCAGGGATGAGATTTGCAAGGCAAGACCCAGAATTTTGAGAATATATGTATGTTCTTGCAGATGGGCACAGAGGCAGAATGGTGGTGTCAGGAAGGTAGATTAAAAGGAATGTCGGCCCTGGCAGTCCAGCCCTACCCAGAGCAGCACAGCAGAGGCCTGCTGCCATCTCTTCTTCCATCCCAGGAGCTGCCGGCTTTCGGAATAAAGCCTCTTTGGACTTACAGTGTCTTGTTTTCAGGACACGCCCCCAGGGCAGGAGGACCAAACTCTTTCTTCTGACAACTGTCTGCCAGGGGGTTCCTCTTTGAGGTACATGCATCTTAGAAATTACAATTATTTTGAGACTCATGCCTATTTTCTCCTTGCTGCAGAAAGCCATCCAGTGGCTGTTAACCATATATTAAGTACTAAGGGCACTGCTAAGTCCACTCTCAAATTCTAAGGAGCTGGATTCTTGGGGCGTCCCCACGGGGTGTACTTTGGGAGCCTGGCCACAGGGCTGATGTGCTTTCTGCTCACCGACGCCCGCTGTAGACCTCCAGGCTGAGTGTGCAGCACCTACCGAGCCATGCGTCATGAGCTTGGTGGCGCAGGCGGCTGGCGCATCTTGTTGGCATAGAAGTCCCTACAGGTCTGGCAGCAGCGCTGGTACCACCGCATGTCCTGGCAGAGGTTCTTTTCTCGGATGACCCGGCAATACACTGTCCACTGGTCCCGTGTGCATTTGTAGGTCAGTGCAGCTAGGGGGACAGTGGAGGGACAATACTTGGGTTAGGGAAAGCAGGAACATGTCCCTCTCATGCCTACAGGTGGCCTGTGGCCTAACAGTCAGGGGCTGCCCCTGGCAGGGCCATCATTGATGGTTGTGCCCCTGTGTCCAACCCAACTGATAGGTCTGATCCCTGTTTGTCCCCGGCCACTCAGGTTCCTGAGCTCTGAGAACAATCACCACCCATTCCTACATCCTGCGGCCCCCAGCCTGAGCCTGAGCGGTGTCCACTCTGCTAGGATGTGGCACACCTGCCCCACCCATTAGGTCATGGGGCTTGGACTCTCCTTTGGAGTTATTCCAGGAGGTCCTGTCTGCAGCCCCCCCAATTCAGGCTGGCTGCGTTCTTTACCAGGTTATCCCTGTTCGCCTAATATCTGGTGCTGGTCCAGAGCCCCCTTTCCAGCCCATAAGAGCCAGTGGCCTCATTGCCTCCAGCCCTGTAGAGACCTCTTCCCAGCATCTCCTCTGCCTGAAGTCCACCGCTCACCATGGGAGGAGCCGCCTCTGCCCCTCCTAGCGACCTCCCCCCATAGCCGCCTCAGAAACTTTACTCTAATCCTATTTCAAGCCAAAATGCCTCTTCCTTTCCTGTAACATAGCAAGGTCACGTTGCAAGCTAGATATGCCTCTCTTTGGCCAGAAATTGGGTTGTTTAACTTTCAGAGCTTCTCTGACCTTGGCTGCATTCTCCAGAGTGCCGACACATGGGGAGAGGTCCCCTATGATTGGGCCTTTGTTGCCCTCTCCTCTCATCCCTCCCCGACTCTGTTCAGTCCGCTCTACCTGACACCAGGTAGCTTGTGCCAGCCCCATGCCAGCCTACAGCCCCAGACTTCCTCACACTAAAAACTCCTGCCCCACAAACTGACCTCCCCTTCCTCACTGCCCGTGACTGGTCTTCCTCCTGCCAGATGGATCAGCCCTACCGAGTCCACTGAGCCCTCCGACCTCAGACCCTTCTCCTCTGGTTGCTGGCATTAACGCTCACAGTCTTCCTCTCCAGTCTCTCCCACTAGAAACTGGGCTTGGTTCCTTTTCATCAACCTCCTCACGTTATATTTAAAAATTCCGTCCTCTCGTTTGCCTCGTGGCCCTCACCGGGTGTGACACTGATACTGTTCTCATTACCACTCTCCTCCCTGCTTAAGACAGTGGGTTTGGATGATGACTTGCACGTACAGCCAAGGAGGTTCACACCTGGAATAATCAGAGACCCGGAGACAGTTCCTAGACAGGACCCTAGATGGAGCCATGAGCCCAGTCACAGAGATTGGAAAACACACCAAAACTTTATCCAGTACATTCTACTGGGTCCAAACAGGGCCTCCATTAAATCTGTCAACTTTGATAAACTCTGAGGGATATGTCAAGTCCAGCCCATTATGGTCTGCCTAACAAAAGGTGCACGCTAGCCTAGGCTCCTCCTCACCGGAGGGCCAACTCCATCTTCCCCACACAATTTGAGGATGGTCCTCAAACCCCTATGACCCAACTCATGATCCCTGCCCCAGGGTCTATCAAGGCTGAGAACTTGACAGGCCTGCAGAAAAGCCTCCAGTGAACCTTCCCTACATCTTCCAACTCCCCAAGCCAGGCCAGATACCCAAACGAAAGTGAGTTCCCTGGGCTTTGCCTTCCATGTGGCAAAACAGCGCCGGGCAAAGCAATGCCCAAGAGTGCTGTGCCCCACAAACCCTGTCCCCTATGCAGTGTAAAGGGCCGCTGGGAGATGGACTCCCCGTTCCAAATGAGGGAAGGCCATCCAGTCCCGCACCCTGCCCTGCTGACTTAATAGGACCTGCTTTACCAGCCAAAGATGGACAGGGTCCCACAGCTCTTGGGCCCACAGCCCAGCAGCACACAAGAGCCCAGGGTAGCTCTTCTGCTGGAGGGTAAGCCCATCCCGTTTCTCCTCGCAGCTGGGCCATTTATTCCTCTTTGTCAGTATTTTTACACTTTAATAAAGGCTGACCATCGGCCGCTTCATCCCTGCACGACAGCGCCCTTAAAGCTCCGCCATGCCCCTCTTGGGACAAGAGCTCCTCTTCAAGCTTGGGCAACCTCTTCCGAAACCTTCCCTCCTCCTTCACACATTCTACCCTTCTCTTCTTCCTCCAACCCCTCACTTCCATCCCAACTCCCAAGACCTTTTCACCTTCACTTACAGCGAGCGACCCGACCTCCGGCAGTGCCCCCTCGAGGTTAGGGACAGCCCTCACTCACTCTGCCAGGCTCTCAGACATGATCTTCACCAGATTCCGCCGCCCAGCAACATACCTTAATGTGTAGCCCTTGTCCCCGAGGCTGTCACCCACTCACCTTCATTCCTTGGCCTAGCGGGCTTTTTCTGTCTGGGCTCCCAACTTTGGCCTCACAGCCAGACCACTTTACAATGCCTCCCCAAAACTCCATATCCTCACGCCCTCCCCGGCAGGAGATCATTCACAGCTGCCTTCAAACCACCTACCATGATCTCGGCCACTTTCCCAGTACACACAAAACCCCACCCTACAGCCAGCCAGTACCTGCTTCATAGATCAAAGCTCTTTCCAACCTCCCGGTGGGCACTGGGTGCGCTCACACTGGACACATAAAGGGGACCCAATCACTCCCCCAAACCACTTCACAACAGACAAAGCTCACAGCCCTAACCCAGCACTCTTCCTGCCTTCCTCCTGGCCGGCGTTCTACTCTCAGCCAAACTCCGAGAGACCCGGCACCTCACTCTATCTGCTTCTTCCCTTGTTCTCGGAGCTCAGTCACTGAACTGCACCCTCCCTGGCCGGACTCACTGCCCCCGGCCCTCCTCCATATACGAGCCCCGCCACAACCGCCTTCTGAGCTAATATGGGGTCGTCCCTTTCTTCTGGGCCTCATGCCTCCCACACGCTCCTCCCTACTCCAGGACCTCTGTGCCCCCGAGCACGCACTGCCTCTCTCCTTCCTCAGCTCACACTCACTGGTCCTGTCCCCCTTCACTCCCTGGCTCTAAACCCTACCTTAAGATTTCAGTCTGTTCTGTGCCGCCTCTCTGCAGGCTTCTCCCAGAAAGCTACCCGTTCTCTCGACGCTCTGGCTTACTGAATTTGCTCACTCTACCCTTTCGCTCATACAGACATCCTTCCTTTCTCCCCAGCTGGACTTCTCTCCCCCAAATAATCACTGACCTCCGCTCCAGGACACTCATGGCGTTCACGCCAATACAGAGCTGCCTCTTCACCTTCCGCCGCCTCTTTCATCAGTCCAGCCAGCGTGTCACCTGTGATAGTTCCCCTCCTGACGGGGATCAGAACGGCCACTCTGTTGGCACTGAGCCAGGCAGCCCATGCGTCCCCGGTCACCGTTCCAAGCTCTCTCCAGGGCCGGGGATTTGGCTCAGTGGTTCTGCCACCTGCCTCGTAAGCACGAGGTCCCCAGTACCAAAAACTGAGTTCGATCCCCGGTACCAAAAACAAACCAACCAACCAAGCTCTCTCCAAAAAGGTAGCTGAATATCTCACATAAAACTCCAATCTTCAAGCCGACAGCCTCAGTTCCCAACTGAGAACAAAGGAAACCGACTGAGGTACTGCACAAGGCACCTCTTGCTCAGGCTGGTCCCGGAATTCAGCACCCCCTCCACCACCCGGCTGTCCGCCTTGTTTCACGAGTCCCCGTGTCCTCCACTATTTCTCTACCCTCTCTGAAGCGAGTGTGGCAAATCTCTAGTGACTGACATTCGCCCGAGTCCAGGGCTACTCAGTGCGCCTTGTGGAGGATGCTGCGACTGCTGGCATTTATAAAATAGTGACATGGAGCAGGTGACGTCAAAGGGCCCCCAAAAGCATGAGCTCCGCTGTATGCAAGTGGCCCACATCTCCTCCACGGCCTTGGTCCTGCTCGCAGGATGTCCCTGGAGGACTCCAAGCAGGCTCATGCTGGCACAAGCTACCCTCAACCCCAAAAGAGGTGCTCTGAAAGCCCCTTCATTTGGGCGAAGTCCGTTTGAGGGGAAGGAGCTTTGGGGAGGAATCTAGTTTTTAGACATTTCCATTTGGAAAAGCGGAAAATGAAATGAATTCGTCAGATCGATACCAAATGCTCCTCTTCCTCTTGTCCTACACTGGCCTAGAGCATGGACAGGGGAAGGAAGGGCCAGGTCCTGAGCACCAAGGTCCCAACTGCTCACACCAAGATGGCAGCCCTCTCCACTGTGTCCCCCGGGGACATCCTCAGGACCCACTGAAAGACTCCCAGGATCTCCCATTTCCAAAAAGAAGCACCTCCTGTCCCCTTCCCCGAGGGTCCCCCAGGAGCCCTAGTACATTTCAGAGGTGTTGTCTTGTGGGCAGAGGGGCCGGTGAGCTGCTGAAGGGACTGCACTTGAATCTGCAGTTAGCAAATCTCTCTCCTAATGAGTGAAATTCTGTCTCTGAATTATTTATGTTTTTCTGGGGTTATTTCTGAGACAGGATCTTGCTAAACTGAACTTGTGATTCTCCTGCTTAGGCTTCTGAATCCTCTTCTACAGAAATAACAAGTGTCAGCCTCTCCAGGGCTCAGTGAAAGCCCAAGAAGATGGCTTTCTGGCTTACAAAACTCCACAGCCAGCAGGAACTCACTGGCCAGGAGACTCAGCAGCCCCCGGTGACTAGGATCACGGGAGGTACTCACCGAGGCGAGGGGAGGTGATGGTGTTCACGTTGATCTTGTCATTGCACACCTCCTGGTGACACTGTCTGTAGGCTGCAGGCTTCGAGAGGGTGGGACACTCGCTGCCGTGACGCCCAGTGACCTTGTGCATGCACTGCACCACACGGGACTGCAGCCCCTTCCCGCAGGTGGACGAGCACTGTGGAGACAGGGACAGCCTGAGCTGAGGGGCTGGGACGGGGCCCGCTATGGCTGCCCCTTTGCCTGGCTCCTGCACATCAAACAGTGCTTGCGATATCTGGGGCTGAGACTAGCTGCCTGCTGGAAGACCATCTCGCCATGAAGGGACTTCATGTTTGTGTCCTGTCCCCAAATTCATTTGTCGCTCCCCTGCCCCGAAGTGGGACAGAACGAGGGAGGGAGGGATTTGGAAGTGATCAAGTTAGATGAAGTCATGACGGTAGGACTGGCGTCCTTATAGGAACAGAATGAGACCGGCGTGTTCTCTGTACTGAGGACATAAAAGGGCAGCTGTGTGCGAGCATGGAGATACCCTGGCCCCTGGGCCTTGGACTTCCAGCCTTCAGAACTGTGTGAAATAAAGCCCCCCTTTGGTATGCTGTGACAGCAGCCCAGGCTAAGACACAAGATGACTGCTAAAATATTCATTTATCCTTTGCATTTCATCTCTTGCCTCAGTTGAGTAAACAGCTGGGCTTTGAAACTCTCCAGATATGGCAGGGTGGCTGGGTAGACCCAGAGGGGCTGAGCCTGATTAACACAGGGGTCATCCAAGTACTTCCTGCTGCCCAAGCCTCTCCAATCCCGGACATGGAGAGGAGCCCAGTTACGTGGGGCTGGATTTCCCACAGCTTGTAGGGTTGGACTAAGGATTAAGATAAAAATAAAATGCAACCTTTCTTGCATACCAGAGTCACAGACCCGTATTTGAGACCAACAGCTAATTTCTGACACCAAATCCTCAGTCACTGGCATTTCCAGCACAGGAAGCCCTGGCACGCGGAGGCAGAGTTTATAAGGAGGTCAGCGTGGCTGGACAGACGGTCCCAAGTTCCCAGGGTGTGAACTGCAGTGTGGACTTCTACTCTGTGCTCCTGTTCTACCCTCATGCTCTTTTAAAGTACATCATGACCTCTCAGTCAACCATGGGTGACATGTGACAGTGGTCCTAGAAGATTCTAACAGCTAATAAATTCCTATCTCTGGGTGATGTCACAGCTGTCCCAATGTCAAAGCACATCACACCAGTCACGTGGTGTTGATGCTGGTAAAAACAAACCTCCTGTCCTGCCAGTCACGTCTGAAGAACAGCACAGTCGCATTCAGGACGTAGCACTTGGTAACAAATGGCTTTGGTACTGGCCGTGTTACATCAGTAGGGGCCTCAAGCACCCCATGGTCCCCGTGTCTCTTGGTGGCACCCCCAGGCCATCCAGGTTTGCATATGGCAAACCCACCTGAAGGATTCCCTCAGGGCGCATTTCCTTACTACCTGTCCCTGTTGCTAAGCGGCGCAGGAACAACCTGCCAGCTCACAAAGTCCATGCCCAATCCTGCCTCCTGAGCTCCTGAGTCTTTGCTCACTCTCTTGGGGGCTCCTGGAACTGTCTCCCCACTAAGCTGCTCTCTTCCCAGGCAGGGAATGACAGCCACATCTCCTCCTCCATCTGGTGTCCCCAGAACCCCTGATTTATGGGGATCTGAGAGCACACTGCAAACTTTAATACCGCCCTGGCCTCAGAGCAGCAGCCCAGCTGAGTTAATAATGGTGCCTCAGGTGGAGAGGGGAGCAGGCCTGTCCTGGGAATGCTTGGTGTGGTGGGCATGCCCAGTGCTGCCCGGGTCGTGTGTCTTCCTCTGTCCCCCCCACCACAGAGGGGACCACAGCCTGTGCTGGCGGAAGGGCCTCGTGTGTGCGGGGGTGGGGGGTGCAGTGCAGGCTCAGCAGAGGTCGGAGGTACCATCACGCCCAAAGTCGGCACTGTCTGCTCCCCTTCCAAGGGGCTTCTGTGACAAGCGACTGCCTCTGCTTTCTTGTCTGACAAGCAGGATCACGTTGAGGCTTTCACTTTAGAAAGACAAACATCCAGAAGTAAAGTTGCTCTGAAGGGAAACCAATCTTCAAATCACAGGCAAGGTGGACAAAACGCAAGTAGCTCCCTGCGGGCCCCGCACGTTCAAGCCAGCACAGGCTCTGTCCCCGCCAGGTGAAGCCGCCCTGTGCGCCTCTGCTGCTCACCTGGATCCACATCCCGGCACAGCCACCAGAGGCTGCTCATGTCCTTGACTGTTCAACAAATGTTACGTGCGCAGATTGCTGGGCTTCCTCCCCCACCTCAGGAGTTGGCACAGAGGTTTGAGGGGTGCTGAATTTGGGGAGATGGGGTCACACAGGAGGCTCCCACCCGGAGACCTTGAACTTGGGACAGCTGCTATAACAGTATCTGCCTGGGGGCTGTCTTACAGGAAGCGAGGATCTCCTGCATGGAATTAGCTGGTGAGCTTTAAACAATCCCAGTGTCTCAGACTGTCCAGGGAGAGTATGTAGACATCAGGTTTAAAAAATTCTCCAGGTGGCTGCAGGTGGTTCCAGCTGGGACCAAGAACCCTTGACTTAAACCGAGTGTCTTCCCAGTGCCCGGTGGAGGATGCAAGGAGCTCTTTCCCTCCGACAAAGTAGTTGTATATTTATATACAGATATGGATTAAGCCAGGATGACATCCAGCTGCAGCTTGACTGCTGCGTTTATTATGTATAGGTGACAGGTGTGCTTGGATATAAGCGGCAAAGACTTTCAGTCAAAACTATTCTTAGAAAAGAGTAAGTTGTTTGATGCTGGTGCACCTCTCAGCTCGGAGATGGTGCTGTGGGGTGCTCACTCACCTGAACGGCCGCCATCAGGGCTCTGTGGATCTAATGGGATCACCCAGGCATTAACAAAACAAAAAGGTAGCCAAAAGTCTGTCTACTCCTGGAGACAGGGCTCCCTAAGCCCAAGTGTGCGCTCATGGTGAGATCTGGGATCTTCCGGATCTTTCATGGAGAGGGGAGCAGCGAGGCTGGGCAGGGGGTTCCCAGAGAGGAAACTCTGCAGGGCTGGGGAGGGGATATCCCTTACGTCCATCTGGCTTTACACGTCTCCCGGCCAGGGGGCACCCAGGCCCCCCCACCCCAGCTGGGGATCAGCCTGGCCGAGTCACCCTGAATCAGCTGACCAGGATGCGGGAGTGCTGGGGAGCGTTTCTGTTTCTTCTGCGGCATCCTTAACGTGTGTAGCCATTGGGGTCCGGCCTAGTCCTGCCCGAGAGAAGTCTGCCGAGTCAGATCTGTGCGTAATCCGACAGTCTTGCACAGTATGACTGTGAATTCTCAGCTGGAATGTTTGCAGGTCGGGGATTTACTGTAAAACGAAGGCATGGACAGCGACCTTGAACACAGATGTCTCGGTCCCATTCACCGGCTCTGGGGCTGCGGGTGGGGGGACTGGCACTTGGAACCAGCACATGTGGGCGCTTTCCGTGGGCTGATTCCACAACAGGGTGGTGATTCCTCCGTATCCTCAGAGGCTGATGTCGGCCACCGCATCTGGCACACACCAGGTCTTGCCCAAGATCAGAGTCGATGCAAGGGAAGACAGGCTCAGCCGCCCGCCCATCCCATGGCCTGACTTCCGTCTCCCTGCATGATTACAGGGGGTGGAGTTTTGATGGGAGGTCAGAGATCAAACCACCAGGCCATGGACTGCCCCACTCCACTATCCCCTCATTAGCATTCCTAGGACGGCTCTCTTGTTTTTAATTTTCCAGTCTATTAAAAGAACTGCTCCCTGAGCTCACGGAAGGGCGTCTCCACACCCTTCAACAGGGACAGATGTCTGGGCTCAGTGCCCTCCAGCACCCCCAGTGGGCAGGGCCGGGCCGGGCAGGGGTGAGGGCCCATGTGGCCAGGGCTCCTGGTCAGGAATTTACCACCTTTTACCTGGAGTCCTGGGGGTGCTGTCGCACGGCTGAGGGTTGGTTCACTTGGGGGAACTTTTGCAAGTGTAGGACAGCACGTGTTTTATGTACGTGGAGGCCGAAGACGCCTCAGAGTGTGAGGTGAGAAACAGACGGGCTGCGAGGTGCCGCGTGCAGAAGCCCTCCCTCTTCAGCTGGTGAAGCTGCGGGTGGGCGTCTGTATAGCAGCTTGGACAACTAACCATTTAAAAATGGAGCATATCTTTACATATGGATTCTGGGGCTAACTTTCCTTCTCAAGTATTGTATAGCAAGGGTTACCCATGCCATTAAGAATAAAAACCGAGCATTCTGCCCACACCCACCTTCCACACTCCCTGCATTTTCATTTGAAGTGGTGCCAAGCCTGCCTTTGACCTAACACCCACATAAAACACATCCTCCTGACCAGAGAGGTTTGCTGCGAAAGCCACCGGTGGAGAGCACTGGGTGGTGGTGGCAGGCCTGCTGAGGCAGGGCAGCCTTCTCACAAGCTGTGTGACCTCAGGCAAATGACTTAACCTATCTGAGCCTTCATCTCTTTGAAGCATGAGGATAATAAACTGTTCCTCACAGAACGTTCCATGAATAGATGCAGCACGGAATCAGTATCTAGCAGGGGGGTCTAGGGAACTGTGCGCCTCAACAATTACGGTCCTGCTATTATTAACAACAGCAAAAGCACAGCCAAGACTAAAGGGAGGCTCTGGAGCCTGGGAGGGACACTGCACTGGTCTCCTGGCTGCCATGCTGTCCAAGCCGTCATAGGAGGAGCACAATCAGTGGCTGGCTTGGCCCCAAGGACAAACATGATTCCAGAGGAGACTAAAGGGGCGGCTTTCGCGCAGTGCCCTCACCTCCTGGGACCCCAGCTCACTGGTGTGAAGGGTAACAGAGATGCGGGTGGTGGGTTCCATTCCACTGGGCTCCCCTGCAGGCCCCAGCCTTAATTAAACAGTGAGGAGACTCTCCTGATAGCATTAGATTTTGCCCCAAGCATCACTGTGAAGCCACTTTTCAAGCTTTACAGTCTAAGTACACAGATTTATAAAAAAACATATCTGTTCTTGCTTAAAGCACTCTAGTGGATGGGCACTTTTTTCAAGTGGCTCATTCCATCAGCGTTTAATGTGGCTTCCTGAGACTCCGCTAACGGAGCAGAAATGGAAGCAGCCGTGAAGTCCCCATAAATCCAGGCTCCTTGCCAGACAGCCTAAATACGCATAGCCCCCCTCCTGTCCCTTCCAGAGCAGCACTGAGAGTGCACACCGCCTGCCCTGCCTGGTGACACGAGCTTCTGTCTGCCTGCCCGTCCTGGCGAGACAAAGCCACTCAGTGAGGTGATGCCAGCGGATACACAATAATGAAATAAAAAACTTTCTGATGGACAAAGAGGAGAAAGTTCATGGCAATAGAGGAAAGAGGAGGGAGCTTCAACTTGGATTTGCTAATATGCTTTTCATGCAAATTAGGAAGGGGTTGTTGGAAAAGGGATTTGACCAAGGTAGGTGAGATTTCTGCACAAAAGAAAGGACAGCGAGACAATGTGCCAGCATTACTGGCTTGGCTTTTTTAGAGTAACAATAAAAATGATAGCAACAGCAGATGTAGCAACAAAGCACACCTTCTGCCCATGAACCGTGTACTTAAACTTATGTGTGATCTTATTAGTTCTTATGAGAACAGCCACTGTGGCCAGGGTAGGGCTTGGGACACAGTAGGTGCTCAATAAATGCACCTGTAGGGGTCGTGGCACCACTTTTGAGAGAGGCAGAACCGCGGCCCAGAGCATCCACATAACTCTTTCCAAGCCACACAGCAGTGGCGTCGCACAGCATCCTGCCCACCTGCACGGCCACAGCACCCACCCGGCGGGGTCTCTACCACTGCCCCGGTGACGCCCTCCACCATGCAGGGGCTCCCTTGCCTGGCTTCTCCCACCTCTAAACACGGGTGTTCGTGGGATCGGCTAAAGGAGACAGAGGATCTCAGGAGGAAGAAGACACTGCCAAGACAACCTGTGCTAGGTGAGCGGTTCAGGCCGGGCCCCCCTGCACAGGGCCTGGGCAAGCAGGGCACCGTGATGGGGTCCACGATGGGTCACGAGGCAGGGAGGAACCAGTTCCCTGCACACAAGAAAAGCACCCACGGCCTCCCAGAGGGAGTCGCAGAAGATAGGGGGAGATCCCGACAGTAACCCCGGTTTCTGTTTGTGTCTGGAGAGTGCTCTGTGGTGAAATGTCAGTTCTTCAAAGGCGTTTTGACACATTTTCCTCCCAGACTTGGCGTAAGCCATGAAAACCTCAGACAGAAGGTGCTGAAACCTGAAATAGCAGGTCTCAACAATAATGAGCGTTCCTGCACTGCTCACGCTGGCCACACACACACACACACACACACACACACACACGTGCATGGTGACACTGGCCACACGCCAGGCACTGGGGTGAGGGCTGCACTGGGATGCTGTTCACTCCTTCCTCAGCCCCCTGCAGGGGAGCCCAGGACTCAAGTGACAGGAACGACACCCAGGCAGGGTTAGACGAGGCCACGGCAGCGCCACGTGACACGTGTGGCACAGCGGGACAGTGGCCTCAGTGGTTCACAGCCAGGTCTGGGCAGCGGTGGGGACTTGGGCTGTGGTGCAGTGGCCAGGACAACTGATGCCCTCCGGGCTCTCGTCCACTCAGGTAGTGGAGAAGGCTCACTGGTGCGGGTCACCCAGCACAGCCCCGAGAGTCTCTGCATGTCCACCTTCCGGGGACTGCTGCTCTTCAGCAAGCCTACTTCTCCAGCGGGGTAGGCCCTGGGCCTAGACTTTCCTCTAACCCTGGGGCCCCATGGCAGCCCTGCTGATCACAGAAAGCACTCCACACCCAGGGTCCCCGCCCTCCGGCCCATCCATAAAGCACTAGATTCTCATGACCCTTCTTCACTGGCTGTACTCCCATGAGTGCTACCCAGTGAAACCCCAGGGATTTTCTTATCCCTGTTGCAGTGAAAGGGCTTCCCATGTACCAAAAGAGGGCCCTAGCATGCCTGATGTTGCTGAGACTTAACTCTTGGTCTCAAATCTCCTTTAATGAAGACCCAATTTTTAATTTCACAGTTAAGGGGAGATCTGATGTGCAAGATCTCCTAGAGTGACAGAAGATTTATACTAAAGTGTAAATGACTGATACAAAGCCTATGAGGAAGCAGGTTTTGATGGGAATAGTGGACCAGAGATCAGAAAGACTTGACTCTAAGAAGCATGTGCCCTTGACAGAGAAGTCATCTTATAGCCCAGTTCCTTGTTTCAAATTAGGAATCTACGCCCCTGAGATTATGGTACATGGGAAGAAAGCTGGATCACAAGATAGAAGCAGGGACTCATCTTTTATCCCTGTCGCATTTTAGTTGTGTGATCTTGGGGGGAAAAGCCTTAGTTTCCTCATCTATACAAGGGGACTAGATGGTTGTGAGGACTCCAAGGGAGGAATCTCATGTGGGAAAATGCTTTGTAGATTCTAAAGATGGATGTCATAGATCAGGGTCAGAGACCCTCAAAGGAAGCCTCAGCCTGGGCCAGAGGAGCCCTCTAGGTCCCACAGTGCTTACTTCACACCCCCGGGGGGCTCAGCATGACCCATGACTGGGGGGTACTGTCCCCTCCCTGACTCCAAGGGCCCTGCACATGGTCCTGCATGGGACGACAGCTCAGAAAATGCTTGCTACCCCAGACTCGGGTGCTCACCCCAGCCAGCAGCCAGGCCCCACCAGGGCAAGGGTGGGCTTGGGAAGTGGCAGTGGGGCCGAAGAGCTTTCTGGAAGCGGCCGTCAGGTGACACAAGGTCAGTTCGTGGCTGAGTCACGGGGCCCATCTCCTACCTAGGAAGCAGAGAAGTGTCTAACAGGCGGTGCCCGGGTGGGGCGTCTGTGTGAACCTCAGCAGAGGCGGGCTTTCTACCAGGCCAACTGCAGCTGGAGAGGGCCCCTGCCAGACAAACCAACCTCCTCCTCAGCGTCCATGAGGCCAGGAGGTCCCACAGAACTTTCATCTCTCCAGCACCGAGCACTCTCCCCACAGACAGCCAAGGTTTCCTTCGGACACCATCCGTCACAATCCCTCCTTCTGGAATAAAATTTCTCGGGGAAAAAAATCCCATCCTTTCAGTGGGGATGAATGAATGTCTTTGGTGCCGAATCTGAAACACTTCAGCTTTTAATTGGAAGTCACACTATTCCAGGAAGAAGGAGACCGCCTCCACTCCAAGCGCCTCCTCCTGTGGGTTTGGATACACAGACCTAATGTCACCGAACGGTGATGACTTGTACTGTTTTCCCAAAAAAGCTAATATTCCTGGAGGGCAGCAGACTGCAGGTCAGTCTGCAAACACAGCACAGCAGGAGCAATGACCTCTGCTGGGCAGGGATGGGGACAGGAGTGTGCCCGTCCTGCAGGGCCCTGGTTAGGCTTGGCCTCTGCCAAGTTCAGGATGATGGAGAGGAAGCCCCATGTCCCCTTGGTGGGTGCCAGCTCAAGGACTGCACTTGTGGTTGGGCCACGACTGGCTGACATCACCCTCAGAAACGGGCTCGTCTCTCTCAGCAGCACCATGGGCCGACCGGACAGGACAAGGGGCTGCTTGCACAGGCAACGCCAGAGCTTCCACACCTCTGCGCTCCCTCAGTCTCGGCGGTCCCACATGGACTTGGGTGGGGAGGAGACAACACTGCTGAGCACCATTCCCTGCACGCCTGAGAAGCTGGACCGATGAGACAAAGTCGCAGCTGATCAGACAGGTGCATTCTGGGGACTGTGCCCCGTGGGGGAGCACTGGGCGGTGGCCCATGGGAGTGAATCAGGCTCGGCTGCCGAAATGCTTTATCCTTGCTAAGAGCACCTTGGAACTTCTCCTAGAAACAGGCAGGGCCACACGTCATGATTCCCTTTACATGTCCCCTCCTGCGTAAGAGTCACCCTAGCAGCTCCATGTTGAGCTTTGTCACGTCCGTGTGATTGTGGTGTGACTCTGAGTTTGTTTTTTGGGGTGGGGGGGCAGAATGGACCACCAGCTTTGATTCTATTGCTTTGGTCAGATCTTTCTCTGATCAGGGAGTAAACAGCAAGGAGGTGGTTTTGGTCTGCCCCACATTCACTGCTGTTTAGAGGCTGCATTCAGTACAGCAGGTGAACCGAGACCTGAGAAACGGGCTTCATGGCACTCAGAGGTTCTGGAGGGCTTCTGCGTGCTGCTTTGGGTCGGGGGGAGAGGCATTTCTTTACAGATCAGAATCTCCTGAGTTTGCTTCCCAGTGGACAGAAACCAAATCACTCACCTGGGCTGAAAATCACTAGGCTTTCACAGTTAAGCCTAATTCCAAATTTTGGGGTGCAGATGTTTCCATTTTTAAAGGTTAGCGGTTGATTCCGTAATGTTGAAGAGATTATTGCAGAAGCCTCGCAAACGCCAGTGGCCTGCAGGTCAATGATCGGTCGGCGAGCCTTGAGTGCACCGATGAGGAGAGGTTTCCAGATCGCAAGGAAGCAGTTACACTCCCCGCTTTCACTGGAGTTTGGATGGTTTCTGCAACAAGGCTCTCACACTGACCTCAGGCTCCAGGAAACAGGATTCATTTAAAGATATCAGGGTAATTAATGAAAGAATGGTTACAGAGCAAAGAATTTCTTTACTCTGAAGACCCTCCCACTGCCACCGAACCCATCTCGCCCTGATGGCGCTGACCTCTCAGCTCTGTGACTTCTGCATCCTCCAGGCCTTAGCCCAAGCATCCCAGGAAGGAATGGAGTGAGGTTTTCTCAAGCTCCCTCAGCGTGTCTGCCTTGGCCCAGGCTCGCACACACTCACAGGCTCTTACGACTGACGGCTGGGAGGCCAGGCCCTGGGAGGACGCTGGGGCATCGCCAGCATGCTGCGCGTGCGGTCAGAGTCGCGCCAGAGCCCTAGCTCTGGGCTTCGGCTGCATTTGGTCTCCTGCTGCACGCACACACGCAGTGGCCTGCTCCCAGCCCGCTCCAGCTGTGGGGAGGCAGGGAAGACACAAGTGGGGTCCCCAGCAGGTGCCACGCTGGGAGAGGGAATTTGCCTGGCTCGGTTGGGACCACCAGGAAGAACTTGGCGCGCCGTTCTCACCTTCGACCAATCCCCCGTCTTCCACTCGTAGCAGCCCGAGTAGTCTTCGCACGGCTCCTCGTCTTTGGGCCTCGTGGATGCGTCGCATTTCCCTTGGGAGTTGGTGCACGTCACGGTTCGCTTCTGCGTCCCTTTACCACAGCTGGCGGAGCACTGCAAGACACCACACAGGTGTTTAATCCAGTCCAACTCTGCTCAAACCCATCAACAACTATGACGTCGCTACTGTGTATCAGACCCGGGGTGTCTGTGAGGACAATGCTGTTTTTGTCCCCACAAAGCTCAAGATCTTCAGAATCTTATGCACGTAGTCCCAGCTGAGACCCCAGCCCGATGATTTGTGATGGGGGAGAGACACAGGAGTCAGGACTCAGAAGAACATGGGTTGCTCGGAAGTTTGATCAAGGAGAGTGGACTTCAGTGGCCAGTCATCAGGTCCAAAACACAAAGCAGGGCAATTCAAAGGGAAAATGAGGAACAGAACGACAAGGTCAGCTGGTGAGGCCTGAGGCCAGATGGCCGGTACCTATGGCAAAGACCCTGATTCGGGGATGAAAATCAGGGCCTGTGCCTGGTTTCGGGGAGACAGGGCAAGAGACAGTGTGAGGAGAGCGCTCAGGTAGGGCCTAAGGAGTGGCAGGAGACAGACAGAAGAGAGGTAAGATGGAGCAGAGGCCGCAGGCGCACGATGTGTGCTGTGTGCAACCTGACACCGCTGCAGGCTGAGGCTGCTCCCCGTCAGGGGTGGGGCCACAGAGCCCAGGTAGGAGAGACTCAGTCAGACCTCTTGCTCATTTCTGCATATTTGATCTCTTTTCTAATAAAGCCTGGGGGCGGGTAGCCCGTGAGCTCAATGGGTGCTGATGGCTGAATAAAAGGCACCATATTAATAAAAACCCTCCCAGGAGGAAATGAGACTCAGATTCCAGAAGAAGGACTGGCAGGGCTTCGGCACATGGTGAAGGGACAGAAATTCTAGCTTTGTGAGCAACGCATGCATGCGGTGGGGTGGGGAGGGTGATTTAATAAATGTTAAGGAAGCAGCATTTTGCTGAGCTGCTGGGGCTGGCCAGGATGAGTATAAGTGAGAGGCTAGCTCGAGACTGGGGTTATCTATGCATGCGAATATGGCCACAGAAGCGTTTCTTTAATCATTCCTCCGGTGTCTCACATTTTCCAGATACGGTGATCTTCAATGCTCTAATAACTGGTAATTTCAGGCTTGATTCTTTTGGCAAAGAGGCATTGCCCTCAGCCCCGGGAGAGTCCGGGTAGAATATTTAGGGTTTTGATCTGATCAAAGCATACATCTTGTTTGGATCATGAGCCAGGTGATCAAGATCCCAAGACTCACATGCAGAGTGGGAGAAGAAATGCAGCTGTAGACCCGCCTCTGCTCAGCATAAAAGAAAAATTCCCTTGCATGTTACACTTGCAAACCTAAGTATATTAAAAGAAAAAAAAAAGTCAACCACATTCTCAGCTTTCTCCTCTTCCCAAAATATCACAAAGGAGAGGTAAGGACCCAGATCTTAAATGGGTACATTTCAAGATCTTTCTAAAACTTAAATTCAAGTTTTAGAGCAGCCAATGGCACATATCTCGTTCATTAAAAATGGGCTGAACACTTTCTTATTCAAAATAATTCCGACTGTTTGGCAATCAGAAGGAACTTTAAAAATATTTTCCACACTGAAGAGTGTCTTGGATATAGCCTGTTTGCATTTCCTAGACCACGTTTGGTGAAGACCGGAGGGAAGCCTGCTGTTTATTTACTGATTTTTGGTTTGTTTCATAGCCAGACAATCAAGATCATTAAGGTAAAGTAAATGCAAAGCCACGAGGGATGACATCACCAAAGATAAAATGGTATTTCTAGGACTAGCCTTCGAAGTGAAAACTCAAGGCTTCCTTGACATATTTCCAAAATGTTTCATGGCATGAGATTTGTCACTCCGACTTGCGTACCAAAAGCTGTCCCTGCCAGCATCTGACGCCTGTAATGTACAAGATGGCCGAGGCATCAAAAGGAAGTCTTTGAAACCAACTTTCCTAACTTGACCACCCTTCAGTCCAAGCTCAAAGGAGAATTAAAAAGCCAGTCAGTACCTATCAGTATGTGAGAATTTTCATAAGAAACAGGATAGTACTTTCACTGTAGTTTCAATATATGCATCATGAAAAATGTGTTGTGTATGCGTGCATGCCATGCTGTTATCTTAGATGGGATCTAGGAGAGTATGAGCCAGAACACAATTTTGAGCTCACTTAGGGATGGGTGAGGACTGTGATAATGGGGACATATCAGATACTGAAGATCAGAAGGTACCTTTTTGGGGTCCCTCTGCACAAGGCCAGGAGTCTCTTAACACCAGCAACACACACAGCCACCCACCTGTGACCACTCGGATGCCTCCCAGATGGACAGACAGTCCTGGCCTTCACAGCTCTGCACTGGCGTTGGCCGGGGACCCGGGCAGTAGAGGGGACGTGTAGCAACATGCGTGCCATTCTGTAGCTGGTACACACAGGTCACCTCCCGATGCTGGATGCCCTTCTCACAGGTTGCCGAGCAGGGGCTCCACAGGCCTGCCACCCACCTGCCAAAAGGGAAAACAAGACAGTGAGAAGATGCGGGGAGAGGCCAGCACTTCCCACCCAGCAGAGTGCCTTCCAGAGTATGGGACAGAGTCACCTGAGCAGTCATCTAATCTAATGGCCTTCTCGGTACAGAAAGCTCTCTGTTCACATTACCTCCGCGACAGAGTGGGTCACTCTTCCCAGCTGGGGTGGGATTATACAACCCACATGATGCCACAGGGACACGCTTTGTTCAGTGGTGTGAGTGGACATGCTGTTTCTGTTTCTCGCTGTTCTGGTCATTAGTGGTGTTATGGCTGGTGTTTAGATGTCACCCCAAAGCCTCATGCTTTTTCTGCAATGGCTGAAAGTAAAGTGTGTGATGCTGGGATAAGGGCATGTGACTACTAAACCATATGAGTGATCTGGCAACACCATAATTCCAGTAGTATGGCTGAGATAAAGGGGCAGAAAGAGGCTGTTAAGCTCCCTTGCTGCTTTTGCTACCTCATGTGTGCCATACTGTTTCTCCTCTGTGATGCCTGTTTGCCATCCACCCTGCCTTGGAGCCAGCTGATTATGGACTGAAACGTCTCTGAACTGTGAGCTAATAAACGCTTTTCTCTTTAACCCTGGGTGTTGAGCATTCTGTCTCAGCAATGAGAGAAAAGTAATACAGAAATTCAGCACCAGAGAAGATGGGTCGTTGCTGTGACATCACCTGGCCACATAGCACTGGGGAGCTGGCACATGGGAAGGGGAAGAGTTGGAAACAATTTGGAGACGCTGGCTGAAGAAGTGGAGCTGGACAGCCTTAGGCTGTTCTGTATGGGAGATGCTGGTCAGAGCTCAGGAGACCAGACAGTCGGTAAAGACCAGGCTCAGGAGGTTTCTTCTAGGAAGAAGAACACACTGACTGCTGGACTCCAGACGATGTGTGCTGTGCCTTGGCAGAAAGTTTGTCTGCCTTTTGCTCATGTCCAGAGACTTTGCCTGAGACTGAGATTGAGAGCAGCTGACGAATCTCGCAGGAGAAATCTCAAGATAGTGTAATGTTGAGGCCGTGGTGTGGCTGCTATGGGGGGCTCTTCGCCTGATTTATGTTGAGAATCAAGAGCAACAAGCCCAGCAGAATAATTTAAAATGTTTTGAATTTGGCCAGAAAGGAAGCTCCAGTAAAGCTGTGGACTGCAAAGATAGAGCGGAGATCTCGATTGCCGAGAAGGAACAGGAGAATAGAAAGATGGCCTGAGGGCATCACAAGCAGCAGCGGGACTCCACCCCTTGCAGCCTCAAAATTGCAAAAGCAAAAGACTTTGCTTTTAGAGGAAATCCCCAGAGCACCACATTCCAGAATGGTGGTGGCCTAGAGAATTTATTCCTCGGGATTGGATTCGGAGTACTCAGCGATTCAGGCACTCGACCCCTAAGGCCAGGAGAGAAGGAAGTCTGGCTACTACTGCCCCAGCTGGCAGCAGACCTTGGCATCCTCCACATGACGCTGGTTTTAGGTACATGCAGAATGCAGAGTTGTGGGATCAGGAAGGCTTCTAGCCAGATTTGTGAAGAAAGCTTGGGAGGCCAGGCAGGGTGCCCTGAGAGGGCACTGTGTGAAGCTGTTAGGTAAAGCCAAAGGTGCAGTAGGGACCAAGAAGTTTGGAGCAGCCAGGAGCATGAGGAAAACTATAAGGAAGGAGCAGAACAGGCCCAAGAGAGAAGCCATGGGGGCTACAACCACCAGCGGTGCCGCAGGGGCGGAAGCACCCAAGCCCTTTGGAGTGGACAACTGCCAAAGATTGCTGGGGATGCTGGAAGTACAATTGTGGGATTTAATGTTTGCCCTCTTCAATTTTGGACTTACTTTGGTTCCATTCCTTTGTATCCCCCATCTGTAATCTTTGGACCGGAAATATCTATCTTGTGCCATCAAATATTGGGAATATTTAACTCTTTCCATTTGCACAGAGGCTTGCAACTAAGAGTTTGCCTTAAATCTCAGGAGGCTTTACACTTGGACTTTTCAGCAGGGCTGAAACTGTTAGGACTTTGGCAACTCTTAGAGATGGACTAAATGCCTTTTGCATAAAGGGATGTACATGAGTCTTTGGGGGACCAGGGGTAGAATGTCATGGCTTGTGTCCCCCGCAAAGCTTCATGCTTTTTCTGAGGAGGCTGAATGTAGAGTGTGAGGCTGGGATTAAGGGAATACGATTACTAAATCACAAGATGCTGTTAAGATCTCTTGTTCTCTTTGCTGTGTTCTGTGGCCATGACCTAATGCCTGTCTGCTATGTGCCACTATGCCTGGAGTCAGCTGGCTATGGACTGAATCCTCTACAAACTGTGATCTAAATAAACCTTTTCCCTTCAATTGAGGGTTATCAGGTATTTTGTCTCAGCAACAAGAGAAAAGTAACTGATTTATGATGAGCATGAATCCTTACTCTGTGCCATCCTGACTATAATAAGCAGTACTCTCAAACTCACTCCTGGAAGCAAGCATTATCCTGATACCAAAACCAAAAAACAGAGCTACAGGCCAATCTCCCTCATGAACATAGATGTAAATGTCCTCAGTAAGATACTGGCAAACAGAATGCAGCAAATTATCAAGAAGATTACACACCACGACCAAGGAGGAGTCATCCCAGGAATGCAGGGATGAGCTGATGAATGCAAATCAACCAATGTGATACACCATATTCACAGAGCCAAGGACAAAAACCATAGGATCATCTCAATAGATGCAGAAGAAGCAGCTGATTAAAGTCCAACACCCATTCATGATAAAATCCTACAGAAAATTGGAATAGATGGTCTTTATCTCAATCTCATAAAAAACAACACCATACTAAATGGACAAAACCTGAAAGCTTTCACTCTAAAATCAGGAACAAGACAAGGGTGTCAACCATCACCACTCTTGTTCAATATAGTTCTGGAAACATTCTCCAGAGCAGGTAGACAAGAGAAAGACACAAAAGGAATAAGAACAGGAAAGGAAGAAGTTAAATTATTATTTGGGGGTGACATGATACTCGACATAGAAGACCCCCCAAACTCCACCAAAATATTTCTAACTTTAATAATTAAATTCAGTAGCATAGCTGCATACAAAGTCAGCACTCAAAAATCAACAGCATTCCTGTACACACATAACAAACTGATCAATTAGGGAAACACACCTTTCATAATAGCATCCAAAAAAATGAAATAGCTAGGAATTAATCTAATGAAACAAGTAAAAACTCTTTACATTGAAAACTACAGTACTCAAAAAGGAGATTGCAGACGATATCAAAAAACGGAAAGATATCCCTTTTTCTTAGGTAGGAAGGACCAACATAGTGAAAATGGTCATACTTAAAAAAAAATAGACCCAATAATCAATGGAACAGATTAAAACATGCAGAAACAACCCCAAACACATTCAGTCACCTTATCTTTGACAAAGGGGCCAAACACCTTCACTGGAAGAAAGACAGCCTCTTTAATAAGTGATGCTGAAAAATTGGCTTTCTACATGCTGAACATTAAACATAGGTTCATGTCTCTCACCATGCACTAAACTAAATTGAAATGGATCAAAGGTTCAAATATTAAAACAGAAAACCTACAAAATAGAATAGATATAATTCCTATAGATACTGATGTAAGCAAAGACTCTATGAACAAAACCCCAATCAGATAGGAAATATCATAAAGAACCAACAACTGGGATCTCATCTTAGTAAAAAGCTTTTGTACAGCAAAAGAAGCCACCAACAGAATAGACAACCCACAGCGTGGGAAAAAAAATTGCTTGCTGCTCCTCAAAGGACTAATATCTACAATATATAAAGAACTCAAAAAAATCAGACCCATTCAAAAAATGGGAATCTGAAATGCATAGACACTTCGTAAAGAAGTAAAAATGGGATATAAATATGTGAAGAAACGTCCAGCATCACTGGTCATACACGAAATGCATATTAAAACAATGCTGAGATTCTATCTCATCCCAGAAAGAATGGCTATTATCAAGTTATCAAGCGATAAATAAATGTTGGTCTGGATGTGGGAAGAAAAGGAACCCTTCTCCACTGTTTGTGGGAGTGTAGACTGGCACCACCACGGTGGAAATCAGTGTGGAGGTTCCTCAACAAGTAAAACTAAAGGTTCCATTTCATTCAGCTGTTCCCTCTCTTAGTATATTCCTGAAAGATTTTAAAGCATCACACCACAGTGATATATGCACACCTGTGTCTACAGAAACACTGTTTGTAATAACTAAATCTTGGAAAGAGCCCAAATGCCCATCAACCAATGAATGCGTAAAGAAGGCGTGTTTTTAAAAATACAATGGAATACTACTCAGCCATAAAGAAGGGTAAGCTTGAGGTATTTGTAACTAAATGGATGGACCTTGAGACCATACTCTTAAGTGAAATAAATCAGATGCACAAGTGAAAATACTGAATTGTTTCTCTACTGTAAGAACCCAAAAGGGTAAATAAGGAGCAAAATGTGTAACAGATACTGATAAATGGGGAGAAAATGTTCAAACAGGAAGGGGAACGAGGGAGGAGGGAGAAAGGAGGGAAGAAAAAAAAAGAAAGAATAAAAGAGAAAAATGGAAACAAAGCTATTGTAAATAAGGGGAGGAAGGGGGATTGAATGGAGCGGAGGGGAATGGGAAAAAAAGAAGCAAGATATATCAAGTATAGGATCAAATTCCCTAGGGTGAATGTTGGCATTATGTATATCTAAACTATCCCAGTGCGGGCTGATGATTTAGCCCAGTATTCTGCTGCTTGCTTTGCAAGAACAAGGGCCTGATCCCTGGTACCAAAAATAAATAAATAAATAAATGAAAATTTAAAGAAATGGTTAAGATGAGGAATCTTGCCATTTGCATTTTAGCACAATGAAAAAGAAACAGGTGATGGTGCTGGGTGGCCAGAAGTGACTAGCAAGGGAAAAGAAAAAAAAAAAAAAAAATAAATAAATAAAGCATTCCCTGTGTCCCAGGCAGCCAAAC